GCTTCAAATATGAAACCGAAGCAACTCATGTATTGGTAATATATTTAGGACGTTGGTGTTTTCTTCCTACTGCCTCTTCTTATTACTCCATGATCGTATATATATTTTTCATTTTGATCTTCTCAGCTAAGACAGATTAGTTTCGCTTTGTGTATTCTTCCATTCGAACAATTTACTTCCATTTCAGATTTCCCCTGGACAGTGAGAATTTCGAATATCTGAGGAAAGCTGCGCTACTGTGTGACCTAACTTACATTTTCCATATTTCTCTGTCATATCCCCTTCCTTACGTGTCCACGTACAGAAGTATAACTGTTTAACAACTATGATAATCCCGAATTCTTTGTGATGTATTCTCAACAACTTTTCCTGCAACATCTTCTGTTGCGTCATGTGATTTGGAAACATCCCCAGAGAAAAATTCAGATCCTGTTTCCTGTTTATATTCACTGACGCTATCATACTCTTGACCATCTACATGAGTGGTTCGTCTTCCTCTCTTCCCCACCTCTTAACATATGTTCAACGTTTGGGTAAGCGTGTCCTACACTATAGCGTGATCAAAATGCATAATGATTCTTGTCCGCAGCATAATCTATTGAACATTTAACGTTTTCAATTGCATTTCGATATCTTGTTTCCCCTGTATGATTTTCTTTTGTTTGTTCGATTATTTAATCCACTTTGACCTAGCTTTTGTTGAATATCCTCCTCAAACTCATTATTGGACACAGGTAAAGGATTACCTTGATCCTATTTTGTACGGTACTGCAGAAAGCTATATCAAGACGCATATTTTCTATCACAACAATAATCTTCGTTGTTTTCCTCCCTGAAGACTTTTTTCATACTATTCATGCAATCAAGAACTCTGTTTTCTTTATTATTTCCAGAGTTAATATAATTTTTCACAACATCGAAATCTGAAAAATATTCGTATAACACTTTTTCTTCTTCCGAATGACTTCTATATTAATAATAACTATTATGACACACGTCTCCTTCACGATTTTTACTCAAATGGCATAGTATATAATCTAGTTCATCTATAAGCACAATGATATTTAAATTCCTCCCCTTACTATTCTTCATCCTATTTATTTTACCAAATACCGAATAATTTAGCAACAAATAAATATGCGTTATAATTACCAATTCTCCTCACGTGGCTCCTTTTCTGTAGTTTATTAGTTCGTCCAGATCTATTAACAGTGCCAGTTGCAATAGTTATTTTCAGCTCGAACATATGTTTCAGGGCATTCTTAGAATTTACACAGGAGTCTTCAAGCCCATCATACATATCTTCACATGCATGATATCTTTTGGCATAAAAACAAGTGTAATTACTGATGTAACTATCATTATTCATTTGGGAATATATCTTACATAAAAGCAATTTTGTCCATAGATTTCTCTGAATCATGAACCGAATGAATTACCCGCATGATTAACCTCGTATATTAATATTCCTCTTTATTATTATCATAATAGAATTCACAGAAATTATAAATAATTACTCATCACCATAGTTTAATAATACTCATCTTCCACTACTTGTTGTAGCCATCAGATTTCGAAATGTAAAGTGAATATACATAAATTGTATATATACACATATTTCAATAGAAAAAAATAAAGACACATCACCTCCTTCTATCTCATGTGTAATGTCCTGCTCGTTCCTAAAACTGAATAAGGGTTTTTCTCTATTGAGTTTCTTCCATTTACTTCGCAGTGGTAAATAACGGATGAATCCCTTAAAAACTGAAAAATTCCAATTGAACTCGGGAATAAAATGTACATTACTTTCTTTCTAATGTAGAAACCACTGTTACTTTGAATTATGAAGTTTACTATATAATATAGCACATAATACATATAATAACAGATTAAATCACATGTTCCTTCATACCAAATTTGATTCTATTCATGTTATTTACCCGGTAACTCCATTGTAGTAATTTCTGTAACTCCCTATAAATAATGACGTTTGCAGAGGCAGCAATTAGGTTTGTTTGTTTTTATCGTTATTATTACACTGAGTAATC